ATGGGATAGACAGGTCACATATGAGTACGTGACAGGACAGACACGTATGCTTCTGCTCAGTCTGCCTTATAGTGGTGACTCAGAGGACAGTCAGTGCCCTGCAGGCTAGGAGTGTACACGCTGTGAAAGTGTTAACACACTGTGGTGAAACTACTGCGATCCGGTGAAGATGAGATGAAATGAGATGATTCCTCAAAACGTTGATGACCTTGCCCCCAGTGATTGATGACAGTGCCAATTTCTTTGTCATCACAGACCATAACTCCAATCCAAGCTTTATCCACACATCCACAATCAACAATCCTCATAAAAAAATGAATCTCACACGAAGATTAAGAAAATTACAGTACACAGAAAATACCTCAAGAATCAATGATCCCAAGGTTGGGTATGTTCCAAATTCAAGATGAAGGATTAGCCCTGGCCGGTTTGGCTCAGCGGTTAGAGTGTTGATCTGCAGTCCAGAGAGACCCGGGTTCGGTTCCTGCGAAGGGCACGTACCTCGGTTGCAGTTTGTCCCCGGCCCTGGTTGGTCGTGCGGGTGGCAGTCACTCGATGTGTTCCTTTCACATCGATGTTTCTCTCTCTCTCTCTGTTCCTCTCTCTCCTTCCCGCTCTACCTGAACAAAAAATGGAAAAATGTCCTCCGGTGATGATAAAAAAAAAAAAAAAAGCAGGATTAGAACAGCGATCAAAGCAAAATAATCACGTCACTGGTGACACACACACGGGATAGTTATTAAAACTTAAGTGGTGTCTGCCAAGCTGTTGTGGTGGAGCACTTTTCTTAACGTCAACTCTTCTCTTGACAACAACATCTCTCCTCGATCCCTGTGTGACTTAGAATCCTCAACATCACATTTGTAGTTACAAATACATCGTCTTATTCCTCCCCTCGTCCGGGTAGTTTCAGACTTTTATAGAGAGCTGGACTAAGAGATCACGTGGTGGTTGATACTGCCAACTGGTGTGCTGTTCTCTAAATTGAACTTTTCTAAATTGGAGATTCTGAATGTAATAGTGTGTTCGTTTTTCAACTACATGCATTGTTTATCAATGCAGAATATCTGTGAGCTTGGTGGCTGGAGGCAATCATTGGACACATTGCTTTGTCTGTCTGTTTCAGTTTCCTCATCAGTAAATGAGATACTACTGCTTACCTCATAGTGCTGTGATGAAGGTGAAACATATGGTACAGAAAAGTTTCTCAGAAAGGGACATGATCACATGGTCACCAGAAATAATACGCACTGTCAGCGTAAGGTAGTTGGATCTATAAGCTCTTAAACTAGCACTGCATAACCAATGATAATATTTATGCTAATTATTATTGATATTATTGATCAAATGACTTGCATTTGCTTAGTGCTCTTGCTTTTTAAAATGCATCATTTGATAGGAAACCTGATCCCCAAGTTATCCTTGCTGTGAACAAAACATGTTATCCCAATTTAACAGTGAAGAAACTCCAGTCAAGTGATGGAGAGACACTAAATTCAGGTCACATTTACAGGAACAAGTTCTTCAGATCCAGGTTGATCCCACCACCTTAGCTCTTTCTTAACTCTCCCTCTACAGCGTCCCATCCCTTCCATAAGTCTGATGTCAGTCAGCTCCAATTAAACTTGAAAAGTGCTGCCATCTTTAGTAAACCTCAAAACGATGTTCCCTTCTCTTATTTTTTGAGCCTTCATTCACAGGGATGACTTTGTTCCAAATATAAAAGAACTATGTGATAATAATCTCTGACCCTACTTTGCCCTTCAACAAGTTTAAACCTATTGTATGCTCTCTACTCACAGTTACTGCTCGCACCCTGCACCCTGTTATCAGGAGGGGAGAGAATATGAGTAGAGTTTCTATACTTACCTCGCTGTGGCACAACAGCATGGTATAAAATCTGATTTATAGATGTTACCTGTATAGATGGAATACAAACATGGTCATGGGTACATACATACTAGTGTGAATAACACAGTATGCAATAACATAGCTTTATATATGAAATAAAATTTTATAATATATAATATAGTTTTTAAAGCTCATATGTATTGTGTATACACACACATATATACATATTTTATTATCATTAAAAATCAAACTTCATCATGTATGAAGTGGAGATAATAATAATTGTAAATACTTCATGAAGCGATTATGAGGAGGAAATGAATTAATATATGCTAAACACTTAGAACAGTCTCTGATACATAATACATACTCAATAAATGTAATCTGTATTATAATTATCATTTATTTTGCATATTATAAAAGGATTTATCATTTGTAAGCATTATTCACTAGAGAGTACTTTAAATATTTAGCTGCACCAATTTTTAAAATATATCAATATCTATTTTCCAATGCAACTTTCAGAAAAGCATTTTTTTCACTAAAGTATATATTATCTTCCTTAGGAGACACATATAGTATGTAGTAATAAATGTATCGTAAGTCGAATCATATACCTCTGAAGAAATAGGTAAAAGCAATTCATAACTCAGAACCTTAGCAACAATTATTTTATACCATAGGAACTCATCCATTCCTCAGTGACAATACTATAAATAAACACATATTAATGTCCAAAGTTGATTCATCCTCAATAATAACTATTTAATTAAGCACTGTTTTCAGAAATAATGGCATTGGGGAAGATTGAATGATGCTTATCTCAGTGGGTTTATGTCAAGTTCTAGTGCAAAAGCAGAGTTCACGCAGAGAAGCGTGGACACCTGCAGCCCATGACTATAACAGCCGAAGCTGCAAATGCTTCTTGTCGTCATTATCTAAGTTAGCATGGTCAGGGCTGAACCAGCTAACCTCCTCCCCACCACGTACACCCAAAATAAGGAAAAACAACCAGAGACAACTCACTACAGTCCTCCAAGGAGGAATGGGTTCCCAGAGCTATTTATTAAGAGCTGTTTTCTTGAGCTCCGATTCTTTCTTCACTTCTTTGAAAAGAAATCCTTACTTCGAATCCTACCAGTTTACACTACTGTGGGTGTATTTAGAATAGACTTTTGAGCAAATTTTTCTCTAATGTGTTCCATAGGACACTGGTTCTGTAAGATATTAATGGATGTTATTTTTTAAAATACATATGTGTGTGTTTATATACACACACATATATCAGCATTTCCTAATCAAAGAAAATTGAGAAACACTAACTGAAACAGATTTATCAGATTCTTTTTATTGTGGAAATTCTCAGGATCCTTAATATGCCACTGTGACTCTCTGGAGGGAGCAGGCTGGACCATGTTTCTCAGACATATTTACCTGTAAGCTCCTAGCTTTCTAATTTCCGTGTTCCATGGAACACACGTTGGGAAACTGCTTTAGAATGTGATCTATCATATATTTTACATCTTTTGCTTATATCCAGTTTCTCAATTCTGAGTAGGATTGCTTCTTCTGAATTGTATTTTTAGTAAATTTGCTATTTTCCACTTCGGGAATCCATTTACTATATCAAAAACAGTTTCTGCTCCTGAAATTGACCATTACAAATTTTTGGTTGTTTTAGAATCACTTAAAACAGTAATTTTCTATCTGAAAAAAAAAATCAGTTGTACAAACTCATAATTAAACAGCAAATTAAAATATTCCAGAATCAAAATTTACATAAAACCCATGAGAATGGCCACACACTTTTCTCCAACCAAATGGCATGAAGTTGAACTTAAGGTTGTCACATGACTCTGGTAAGCAGATGCTATCCTACCCTCAGGAAACCACAGCAACCACCACTGATAACCTGCACACTCTCTTTTAATAAAACCATGTTACATATAAATAATATAAATAAATAAATAAGTAAATAAATAAAAATGTAAAAAATATATGTATTATAAAATCATATTACGATAGAACAAGAAAAGCTCTAAAGTTTGGGGATCTTTTTGTCTTTAAAGTGTCTTACTCCTAGGAAATGCTAATATTTAAAGAAGTCATATCATTCCCAGAGGACTAACTGGACTCTTAAATCTTAAGTAGTTACTGGTTGTAACATTTTATTCCTATTGAAACTTTGAGACTTAAATTTGGACTTTAGACTTGATGATAAGTCCCAAATGTAGGCATAGGATATATATATTATTTATATATAGTATGTATAGTATATTAATTTGAACTGAAGGGTGAATGCAAAAGGAATTTACAACTTCTATGTATCCAAATTTCTGGGAAAATTTCAAGGAACTTGAGTGTATATGGGTGTATTGGTCATGTTGACTTGTGTTTCTCAATGTTGAAAAAATGTACTATATTAAAAAGAAAAAATTAAACCTATAAAATCATCTGATAAAGTCCACCGCTGCTACATTTAACTTAACTGAAATAAAAAAACAAGTGCCCACACCAGTGTGATAAAAACGTTCCCTAAGCTGCGTTGGTGTTTTTTATTATCAATCAGGACATTCAGTATCTCTTTTGCATTAAACTTAGTACCAAGTGTTGCAGGGCCTCAAAGGAGGACCCAGCTTCGGGTTTCTGGCATAAAAACCTTAATACAGCCTGAAGAATTCTCCTAGGCACTTCAGGAGTAATCAAATTTCATGTTAACTCTTAAATTACAAACATGCACTAAACCTCTGTTTAGACATTCAAAAGGCCCTTTAGAAAACATCCTTCAACCAAAGCCCAAGTTGGCAAGTGACACCGTTTACCTGCGAGCGCTGAACAAAGAGGGGTCCCCGCAGTCCCTGCAGGCACATGGGGAAGAGGCACGCGATGTACCCCACTCCCATTGTGAGACACAAATTCTTTGTGATACTGGGAGACACCGCAGAACAAAAATACTATTAGAAATGCTTCAAAAGGAACATTTTTGGCGGCGATAGAGACTTTTGACATTATTTATTAGGTTCAAAACTGCTTCACAAAAGCCTAACAATGGTTCTGTGGAAACCAGTACATCTGAGGCCCTTTCTGTTGTTCCGGGCAGGCATTGATTTGAAGATGGGCAGCCCTCGTGAACAATTCCCTCGCAGCGGTCAGTGTAAGTGAGCATTCAGCCCCCGCCTAGGAGGGGCCTGTGAACAAGCCGTATGGAAACGCTGGGGTGGGCGAGAGGGGGGAGAAGAGCAAGATTTGATTAACCTCTTTGAGGAGAGATGGATGGGAGCCCCGGCAAACTGAGGAAGGGGCGCTCCTGCCAGATTGCCATGAAGGGAGGCGTCTGCCCGGAGCCCCCTTTTCCTCCGGGGATAAGGATGCTTGGGGAGCATCTCCGGTGCCATGGCAACTGCGCATCTTCCGACTGGATTTCCAGGCGCGCCCTGGAGTCCACTTTGGGAATCTGGGTTGGCCAGAGCGCCCACTGTGGCTGCTGTCCTCTCCTCCAGCTGGGCTTCTGGGGATCTCGGGGAGACCCTGGAAGGGGTGCAGAGCCCGATGGCAGTGGAAGGTCTCGCAGCAGGACCTAGAGGAGGAGTGGTACTCAAGTGTGCGCATGTACCCGCCCCCGCCAGGGCTTTTTAAGAAGTCTCTCCTTCATAACCGAATGTTTGAGAAATCAACATTTGCAGTGAGTGGAGAAAGAAAAATAATTCCCTGACATTATTATCCTCGCGTGCTCCCTACACTTCTTTAAGAAAATAAGATGCGATCTCTTCCTTGCCTGTTGCCTGGGAGCACCCCCTCCAAATAACTGTTATAGAATCTTCATGAAGTTTTTTATTTCAAGAAAAACTGTTCAAAACGTCTGAAGAGAGGAAACTCGAAGAATTGGTGACTAAACTAGGGCCTCAGATTCTAAATTTGAGGAAAGTTCGTGAATGGAAAATTATTCACTGGAGTTAGATCTCATGCAAAACAAATGATCCACAGCCCAGTTAGACTTACAACTGGTCATTGAAAACTCCAAAAGGCAATTACTTTATGAATTTTAGTAGAAATTTCAAACCAGCTGAAAATGAAAACAATGAGTGAATTAATTTGATGCTGGATCTACACAACACATATGTACACATTAATAATAATAGATCTGATTTTTTTCTTTCTTTGGACAACAAAATTATTTTTTATGTAAAAGATGAGGTATTTTTATGATAATAGTCAATACTGTAAAAGAAATACATATATATTTTTTCTACCTGCATTTCCATATGTATATACATATATATCACATATAAAGAAATATATATATTCCACCTGCATTTTCACGTGTGTGTGTATGTGTGTATATATATATATATACAGTCTTAAATTTTTTACCAGAGAAATTCTGCCCATTGACCTACACAAATTAAAGTCTAATTTTAAAGTAGTTAAGACAATGTCCATGCTTTAAATCACTTTCTTCAAGTTTTTAAAGAGCTCTGAATAGCACATAGATGTCTAGGCTATTCGGAACAACCTACAGGATCACTTGCAAATTCAAAAAATATGTAAAAGATTTAAAATGCATGTTACCTTAGGTAATTCAATTTAGTTAATCACATATTGTCCTGTGCCCAGTATGTACTGAGCATCTCCCACTACACACTCAACATACCCAAGTCAAAGAGTGAAATTTTTTTAGTGACTCCGATTTCTCCAAAGTGAGAATTATTTCCTGGAAATAAAGGTGGAATGGCCTTTTAATATCTCCAGGTAAATAAAATCTTTCAGAGAGCCAAACATACTGACTTGTGAAAACTAGATGCTTAACAGCTGTTTGTTGATTTGAATTTCAGCTTCAACAGATGACTCATTTATTGTCATCAATAACCAGTGCAAGAAGACTTCACCAGAGAACATGGGTGTGTCTCTGAAATTTGGAGCAACATATTATGACCTAGACAGAAAACACTGTACTTTGTCTTGAACCCAAAAATAGGAGTTTCTTCCCTGAATATTCTGTGCGAATGACGCATTTTTCATATTCCATTGTCTTAAAGGGGAAGTGTGATATAATGGTATAAACAAGGCATTGGGTTCAGACATCATAGATTCAAATCCCAGCACATCACCTAAGCCTTAACTGAAATATGAGGATTATATTACCTATTTCACAGGGTTGCTAGCAGGATTAAGTTTGTTCATTCATTTATTCACCCATTAATATTTGAGTGGTTGTTATGTGTCTGGCAGTATTCTAGACATTGGAAATAGAGAAAGGAATAAAGTTGCCAATATCCTTGCACTTACAGAGCTTCCATTGTAGTTGTGGAAAGAGCGAGTGGGGAAGGGAAGTAGACTTTTAAATAAGCAAATGAAGAAATGTATAAGTGTCAGGTGGTGGTAAGTCCTAAGGAGAAAAATAAAGCAGGAAAGATTAGGACAGACCCACAAAGGTGACATTTCAGTAAACACCTGAAGGAAATGAAAAAGCAAACTAGTTAAGCACCTGAGGAAAGTACATGATAAAATGCAAAGCATCGCCCAGATGGTGTGCCTCAATGGCTTGAGCATCATCCTATGGACTGAGAGGTCCCGGTTCAATTCCCCATAGGGTACATGTGGGCTTGATCCCCTGTAGAGGGCATGCAGGAGGCAGCCAATCAATGTGTCCTTCTCTCTCTCTAAAAAGTCAATAAAACCATATTTTTAAAAATGCAAAACATCGCCCTGGCCAGTTTGGCTTAGTAGTTAGAGCATCGGACCAAGAACCAATGAGTCTCGGGTTCAATTCCAGTGAAGGGCACATACCTTGGTTGCAATTCTACCCCTAACCTTGGTCTGGGTCATGTGGGAGGCAACCAATTGATGTGTCTTTCTCCCTCCCTCCCACTCCCTCTGAAGAAAAATGGAAGAATATCCTCAGGTGAGGATTAAAAATAATAATAAAATAAAATAAAATGGGGATAATCACATTATCTGCCTAAGAGTGTTATAAGAGGATTTCATAAAATAATATGAAATGCTCAGGCGGAGGAGGATATGAGGGATACATGATGAGTGGAGACTTGACTTGGGGTGGTGAACACACAACCCAATGTACAGATAATGTGTTCTGAAACCTGTATAATCTGTTAGCCAGTCTCACCCCAATAAATTTGATTTAAAAAATGCTCAGCACAGTATCTGTCATATGGTGAGAGCTTGAATAAATGGGGGTTAGAATGACAATAATAATTATCATTATCTGGTGCAATACCCAAATCATCAAATTACTTGTTATCTAGTCACACTTGTCCTTGCTTCCAATACAATATTTGGCAAGTAGATTTCCATTAAGAATTGTTAGATCAGTTCTCATAGAACCTTCTGGAATAGAACCTGCTGTTCATATTGACTTAAAAAATAAAATATGACCAATAGAAAAGAACAAAGAAAGAAACAGGAAGCAGTGAGACTTGGCAGGTGGGACAGAATCTCTCGTGGAATTGTGAGAGGGCCGGTTCTGAATTTCTACGTGTCTATTGATGTGCATGCCTGTGTCCTCCAGGTGCACAGGACATAGTGAGTATGACCAAATAGGCTCTTTTGTCATTTGCCATTCCAAAAATGGACTGCTCCAGGCCTTCCTGGGTGCTCCTCTGTCTCTCTTATCAATTGCTTTTCTGACAGTAAAGATCAATGGGGCCTCGTCCCATTCACTGAGTAGCATTGGGGAGGGACTGGTTCCTCCATGGCTTTGTTCTTTGGAAGAAGTTATACTTACAGCGGGAGACCTGGGGACGTTATACTGGTGAGTACAAAGCAGTTTTTTACATGCCATTGGAGTCTGAATCCTTCCTGGACATACTGTAATAGCTAAACACATTAGTTCAGAAGAACATCACTTCAACATCACCACTAAATCAATGATAGGAAGGATGGATTTTTCATTCTTATTTCTATCTTGAGCAAACAGAAATGACAAAGAGGCCAAGGTCCTGAGTGACTGAGTTGGAGAAATAGAGAAGGGAAAACATGTGAAAAGAGAGGTGAAAGGCTGAAAACGTTTTTGCTGGGCTCAAGCTATGTTGAGGGCCTGGACACGCTGGTGGTTCAGTCCTTACAAGAACTGTATCTAACGGATGTTATTACTGTCTCGAGTTTACAGGTCAGAAAGCTGTTGGAAGTTTATGGTTGATGCGTCCCCTAAGAAGATATTCGGAAGTCCTAACCCTCTGCACCTGTGAACGTGACCTGATTTGGAAATAGGGTCTTTGCAGATGCAATCAAGTTAAGCAGGAAAGGTTAGGACAGACCCACAAAGGTCCTTTTAAAAAGAAAAGCCAGACAGAGACTCACAGGAAGAACGCCATGTGATGACGGAGGCGGAGACTGGAGTGATGATATACCAGCCAAGATTTACCAAGGATTGCAGCAACCACCAGAAGCAAAGACAAAGGTATGGGATAGATTCTTCCTGAGAGCTCTCAAAAGATGCCAATGTTGCTGACACCTGGGCTCCAGACTGTAAGAAAATAATTGTATCTTAAGCCTTCCGGTTTGTGGTTCTTTGTTACAGCAGTTCTAGGAAACTAATACACCCATAACAGCTCCAATTTATTTCTGTTATCCCAGAATAATTATCAATAGCAGCCGTTTTCACTCCAAAGAAAACCAAAAAAAAAAGTTTCTTCAGATTTTGGGGCATAGAAAAGAGGAAAAACCAGGAGGTGGGAAGGGATGGAATGGGAAGAAGTCGATTTCTCGAGTTCACTAAGTGGCAGAATTTGTGCCAGAGCTCCATGACTCTGAACAAAACTATTTCCTGTGCTCAAGGGGCAAAGAGGATGCCGGCCACGGTAGGTTCCAGGACTCATTCCTCCTAAACCACAGTCTGCAGGAGGGAGAAGCATCATGAATGCCTCCAGGGGCTTTGAAGATAGTAGAAATGAGAAAGGGCCAAGTAGGGACACCCTGTAGGTATATCTCCCATCAACAGGGGCCAGTCACTTCTCAGATCTTGTCTATTATTGTCATGAGGGAAAATGGGCCCAGTGTAGACAGGTTTTTCTGGATTTTCAGAAGTAGAAGTAATGTTTTTTTTAAAAATATACATGTAGCCCAGCAGGTATGGCTCAGTGGATTGAGCGTCCTCCCATGGACTGAGAGGTCCTGGTTCAATTCCCGGTCAGGTATTGTGCCGAGGTTGTGAGCTTGATTTCCAGTAGGGGGCATGCAGGAGGTAGCTGATAGATGTTTCTCTCTCACATCATTGTTTCTATCTCTTTCTCCCTTCCTCTCTCTCTCTCTCTCAAAAAAAAAAGCACTAAAAACATTTTTTTTAAAAGTGTGTGTGTGTGTGTAAAGACTCCTTATTTTTAAATATTTTTTTAACTCACTAAATGTTTTAAGAAATATAGTGTGGGCTACACAAAACATATCTGCTCTCTGAATCACTACAGGTCACCAGTTTGCATCTTTGGCCTCTGACCAGTCCTATAAAGGTTACATTGTTGCCTGGCCAGTGTGGCTCAGTGGTTGAGCATTGACCCATGCACCAAGAGGTCATGGTTGGATTCCCGGTCAGGGCATATGCTCAGGTTGTGGGCCCGATCCCCAGTGGGGAGCATGCAGGAAGAGGCCAATCAATGTTCTTTCTCATCGATGTTTCTATTTCTCTCTCCCTCTCCCTTCCTCTATCTCAAAAATCAATAAAGAAAAAAAAATGTTACATTGTTGTTTACCTCCTTTCATACCATCTTCATCTCAGAACATGACTTTATAAATATTCAGCTTGGAACCATGGACTGCACTCCCAAGCTCTGTGCATAAGCAGATTCTACAACTCTACAAGTCTTGTCTACCTCTAACACTTTAGGAAGACGGAGATTTTCCTTTTATTTTAATTGGCTGTTCCACTCCATCATGAAACCCAAAATTTACAATGTTAGACAAATTCATCAGCCTTTCCCAGATGCAGAGAAACATCAGTGATCTTTTAAAACAGCAGCTCTAGGACTCTCGATCCCAAAGGAAAATCCACAACACCGGAACCAATGGTATTTGATCTGCCCTCATTCTGTTTCTCAAACATTGAGAGCAGGATAGAAGGCCTGATGACACTTTCCACACCTTCACGTTCTAGAAGTTAGAGGTTGAAAGAGACCTGACCACCTCATCACCCACCTCTGTTTAAACACTGCCAGGGGCTGAATCTCACCACCTTTGCAGCTGAGATCTCACTGCTTAGCAGATGAGCAAATAAGTAAGTTCGTATTTGCAATGTAAAAGGCACTGTGTAGATTGATAAATATAAATAAATAATATTATATGTAAGAAATAATTATCAAAGCCACCGTAGCTGATACTGAGACAGGAGATGACTGTGGTTATTTACTTAGTTATTTGACCAATATTTATTGAACTTCTACCATACACTAGGTACCACTCCGATGACAAAATGTTACTCATTTTGATACTAAGTGGACCAGCTGATTTATAGCAAAATGGACTTCAACTCAGAAACCCAGAGCCTGCCAGCTTCATAGACCCCTGAATGAGTTCAGGTTTCCTGTATGATACCATGACCAGGCTGCCGGAATGGACTACAACCACTAGAGGTTTAGGCATTAAATGGAGACTGTTGGAAATGAAAGGGTCTTTTGCAATCTCCAATGGCGTCCAGTCTTTTTTTTTTTAATGTATCCACCAAGATGGTGACAGAACTTGAGCCAAAATCCATCGCTCATGATTTAAAGTCCAGTGCTCTCTGTTTGGGTCCACACCACGTAAGTCTAATTCAGTATTTCCCAATCCTGGCTACACATTAGCCAATATCTGGCATGCTTTGGAAATACAGAGCTGTGGTCCCGGGACTCCAGTGTCTGTGGTTTGTATGCCCCCTCAGAGATTATAATGTGCAATCAGGGACCCACGGGTCTAATGCACTCATCAGAGGTTTGGGTTCTGCTTGTTCCGAGCTTTATCTGGTGTAAGCAATCCTGAGCACACGGCTGGTACCTCTCTGTGGGCAGCTTCACTTCAGGCACCGGTATTACATA